TTTTTATTTTGAGGTCAACTGATTTTATTTTAAGACTTCGGCGGAGGTTCATCATCGCACCTTTTGATCAACCAAAAAACCGCAATTTGACCGCATTTTGACCGCACTTTTAATTTTTCCCAAATTTCCCAAGTAAACAAAATCGTTGGAACTTTTGAATATGATTTTTGAAAATAGTCTACCCAAGGCTAACTTTGGGCGAAATATCAGGGATTCGCCAAATGGGTCGCTGACCGCCGATTCTCGATCCTTACAGACAGCCACTCTTAAGTTGTTAGAGACAAGCTCGCAATGAGACCCATTTATACGAGCGAGCTTTCTTTCTGAGAGGAGCTTGCTCGTATAAATGATGGTAATAAGACTGAGTGGAGTCTAGTGCGGTTTATGAACAAACGAGTGATTAAACAAAATCACGCCGGAGTCAAATGTGGTGTAAAGTGTTTAATCACGGTATGATTAAAAGAACGAATTAGAAGATACGAAGTCAGTGTTGGTAGAGCGCTGCACCGGTATCGCAGCCGTCAAGGGTTCGAATCCCGTACAAACCTGAATTTTTTTCAAGCTTTCTTTTCGCAACGGCAAAAGTTGCGTATACAACGGCAATGAGATTCCTTCAAACAATACGAAGTTCTGTTGCCATGAAATCCATCGTAAAGTAAAATAAGAACTTTCATTTACGTTTTAATAGTATCTAGCTCCTGTATACTAATTTGGGACAGAAACAAATTAGAGGTAAGAAATTTGTGACAGATTAAGTTTTTGTTTTATGAAAACACGTGATCTCTCGCGAGTTTTTACTAGACGTGAAGAAAAGAATATTAAACCCTATCAAGTGAGATTGCCATTACAGCCCGCCCAATGGGGCGTACTGTCCAATTACTTATGCATTACGCATTCCGTCCTATCAGACTGTCCTAAGACAATACTGAAATTAGGCAAACATATTTGAGAATTTTGTTATCGTTATGATTAAATCGGAAAAATTGACAAGCATTCCTTTAAAAGTCTAATTATTCAAAACTTTCTTGAAAAGGAAACTTAATATCAAGGATGAGATTTGCCCATGTAAATGAATTAACAAGGACACTTGCCATGAAAAATCAAGGATTTATGGGAAATAAGTTCCCATGACCTTAGTTAAAGAGTTGAAAAAAACAAACAGAAGCAACTTAAATAAAGTTTAAACTGACCTGAAAAACTCTTGGAAACTTTCAGCTACAATGCTCTCAAAGCAATGGGCTATGTAGTCACCCTATTTGCTATCTTTCAGTAAAAAGCTAAAACTTGTCTTCGAATCAGTTTAATTCCAAAAATAATGATCCCTTTTGTTATTTTTTACATTTAGACATCGAAATTGTTTCCTGTCGTCTGTTGCAACGGATGCATCAGGGGTACCCAACGAGAATGTAGTTCAAAACCACTTAAACATAGCATTGTTAAACGTATCAGTATTTAAACGGTAGATATAGGCATACTATTATCCCCTAAAAAATTTTCATCTGTTCGGATTTCCTAGCTGAAAGTCTAGTGATCCGAAAATTCTAGGGATCAAAACATACCTTTTCGAAAATTTTAGCCGGAAAAAGGGCTCCCGAAAATTCTAGCTGACGTTTTTAGGGTAAAAATCCGTTAAAAATGGGCAATTATTCCATTTTTTAGATGTTCGAAAATCCTAGGAGAGGCAGGCAAGCAAGAAATTTTACAACATATGTTCCGAAAATTCTAGATCTCAAATCGTCTTCCGAACAGATATTTTCCGAAAATTGACGTTGGGTGCCCCTGATGCATGGCAAGGATGGACATGCATGGATTGACCATAAAAGAGTTGGGCTATCCTTCACAATTAATGAAAAATATCATGAAAAAATTATTATGGTTAGTGCTCCCTGATGAAATTTATTTTATATCTTCCTCATAATTCTACAGGAGAGGTTTTTGTATGGATTCGTCAGTTAGTACCAAGCATTAAAGCAAAGTTTTGAAATGAAACGGCTAAACAGCTTCTTTGATTCAAAACTTTGTATGTTTTACCTCCAGGAGGTCTGGGATCGAATTTGATAATTTGCCGCCAAAACCCGCCAAAAATAGAGCCGGAAGCGCAAAGATTTCTGGTCAAGCATTCAAAGATGGTGGACGCTTGTAACTTATAGAGTTCCTTCGGTTCATTTAGTTTATATCAACGCTTCTAAACTGAGGGCAAGCACACTACCAATCTAGGATGAACGGAGCAGTGATACCAAATACTCCAATAGCCGTTGATTTTTGGAGTATAAGGCGTTGTCCTCATTCGAGGGTTTTCTTTTTATCACATATGCACACAGATCACACGGCTGGTCTTACGTCTTCTTGGAACACCTATAGAATTTACTGCTCAGACGTGACCAGGAAACTGGCAATAGCTAAACTGGGTCTGAGGAGTGAACTTGTTGTAGGACTGCCTCTTGACGAACCCGTGACAATAAATTTAGATGAAGTCGGCGAAGAAATGTTGACGGTAACATTGATAGATGCAAATCATTGTCCTGGATCTGTTATGTTCGTTTTCGAAGGCTACTTTGGGAGAATTCTGTACACCGGTGACTTCCGTTTCTGCGAGCGTTTCCTGACACATTCTGCCACTAAAGGGAAAAAATTTGACATACTTTACTTGGATAACACTTACTGCGATCCTAAATGCGCATTTCCCTCGCGTTCATCTGTAACTATGACTATTATGGAAATAATTCGAAATCATCCACAACACAAAGTAATTATTGGTCTTCACTCTCTTGGAAAAGAAGCCCTACTTCGTGCTATTGCTGTAACTTGTGAGATGTGGATTGGAGTGGACGCAACCAGAATGGAAACACTGAAACTACTTCAAATGCCAGATGTGTTTACTTGTGATGTGGATAGAACTAAAATTCAGGTGGTAAAGACCCGGGAAATTACTAAAAGGAACATTCAAATGTGGAACTCTGTAGAACCAACTATTGCAATATTACCAACTTGTCTTTATGTTGGGGGACAAAACCCGTATGAAAATGTACCAAATGTTTTTGTCGTTCCATACTCAGATCATTGTTCCTTTGAAGAGTTAAGAAGGTTTGTCCAGAGCATCAAACCAAGGAAAATAATTCCAATAGTCCACAAACACAGGTTGTCACCAGGTGACACTATCAACAATCGAGTGAACATGAACATTTTTCATCAACTGATGGATTCTTCACCATCAGAGCAATATGAGGTTCCCCATTCTGTTGAATGTTACATGACTGTAGGAGTTGCACAAGAAACTGACCGTAAGACAAGGGCAAAAATTATGAAGAAAGCTCCCTTGCGAAAAGTTCCTAAGTACAAAGAGCCATGTGGAGTTGTCTTTCCACCCAGTCTTGAGATGAGTGAAAATGCAGGGAAAAACTGTTTGGCTGGAGATATTTCTGAAGGAAAATCAAGGATGGGTTTAGATGATGCCTGTGACATGGCAAGGAAGATCGGTGGTGTTGAAATAAACATAGCTGTGCCTGCTTCCAGGAGACAAGAAAGTGATTCAGTATTGAAATTAGAGGTGGAAAATGGCACTGAAAACAACTATTTTGAACCAGACCAAGATGCTAAAGAGGACTCCAGCAGACCAGAACGCGATTCAGTAACAAAAGCAGAGGTGGAAAGTGTTATTGAAAACCATGATTTTGACACAGACCAAGATACTAAAGAGGACTCCAGCAGACTAGAAAGTGATACAGTATCAAAAATAGAGATGGAAAATGTCAGTAAAGACAGCAATTTTGACACAGACCAAGATGCTAAAGAGAAATTGAAATTTCATGTAGTTTCCTGTCTTAAAGAAGATATCACTGACACTCACAGAGAACTGAAACAACTCAGTGAACACAATAAAATAACTATTGATGCTGTTGATGAGCATCAGAAGACAAGTAAAAAGAGGAAATTTAATGTTTACACTGGGTACTCGTGTGATTTTGCGAGAAAATGTTTAAAAGAAATTATGGAAAATTAAGCTACTGAAGACAGATGTAAGAGTTAGTGTTAAAACTGATATACAGAGCCAAAAAAAGTACTTAGATCTCCCTAACACAAGGTTTGGAATTCCCCCCCTCCCCCCAAGAAGGTTTGCAACTACTGTACTTACACTATCCTGTTCCAGGCCTCTCAGATAGTAGGGTGGCCACAAAAACAAAGGCATGCATGATTGTTTATTTTCTAGCCTGTGAAAAAAGTTGTCCCTCCTCACTCTTTGCCGCTAGAGACATTTCATCAGGAGGGACGTCTGTGACAGAAATTACATACTGATGAAGTAAACCAATGTTTACATAATATATCCAGTAGTCACAGGGCTCCAAATGTAAATTTGTTCGATTTTGTTTCTCCTGGTTGATTATGGCATTAGTTTTGTGTTCTTTGGTAAACGAGCTCCACAAAAAGTCAAAATGAAAATATACTTCTGCTAAAGAAAATATATTCTGCAAAAATGGACTGTATTGTAGTAGATTCATTGCATTTACATTTGATCTATGTGACATTTTTTTTATGTCTGTTGTTTGTAAACAATAGCTAAAATAATATAACTACCATGTCAACCAATCAGAGCTCTTGACCAGATTCCAGACAGATTGTCAGTCATCAGTATGGAATTTCTGTCAGTGAGGTGCAGACATCCCTCTTGGCAAAATGTTCTAGCAATAAGGAGCAAGGAGAGACAGGTTATTATTTTTCATGCTATTTTATTCTACCCACTGCTTTTCCCACTCTCTGGGAACCTGGAACAGTCTATATTTTTGTGCGTGTAGTATAAATCAGTGTTTCAACTTATTGCTTTTGTAAGGGGTTAATCTTCCTATAAAGCCTTTTTAATACATTTACTAGTGTAATAAAATTATAACCACTGTAAATAAAGAATAACATTAATTTCATTATTAATCCTTATAAATAAAGAAAATAGCAAATTGTTTTTTTTTTCATGGGCTCATTTTCATCTGCTAGTTTCAACTGAAGCAAAATGCTTTCCATTTTCATTTAAAATTCTCAATAGGTTACACCATGCTTCACCCGCTTTGTATGGCACAGAACATGACAGCCAAGAGAGAGTTTCGCTCAGTAGTCTTGTGATATTTCAATGGTCACTGCCCCTGGCAGTTATGGACTTAAACCATAAAAAATTATTGGTTGTATAGAGAACTAAGCATTCACCATGAAATCCTGAATGTTAAGGCATTAAAAGTTGACCTGGTGTACCCAGTTACTTTATTCAGATGTTATTCTCACCATAAACCTAAAGCTTACATTTGTATTGTATTTAATCTTTGTAATGAATAAATGGAATTTGGGCACAAGACTGCGTGTGAGGGAGAAGCGAGGAGGGGAAGCCTGTTCCCTTCCCTCCTTCCTTGCGCACCCCTTGTGCTTCTTGCGCGCCCAATATCCCCTTTCCCTTCCCTTTTGAATGCCTTCCCCTCGGGCTACTTGATCTTGGCTAAGAATATTAACATTATATCCAATATCAATTTACTACTGTAACAGGAATGAATTTACTATTGTCACATAATCATCCTTGTTTTAGGGAGAATTGAGCAGAAGAGAAATTTTAAATAAATCCAGTTTATTCCTGTTCAGAAACCCTATCTCCAAACAGCAGGATATGGAATATTACACCCTAAACTGATATTTTAAGCTAATTGAAAGTTTGAAAAATTTATATAAAAATTTTTACAACTTGTAACAATCAGAAATCAATTTGTAACAATCAGAAATTAGATACCTAAACCACAAGCAAGTGAAATGTTATTTTGTAATTTGCATGTCATAATCTGTGATGGGTCATGGCAATCAAAACATTTCAGACATTCCTGGTTTTTGTAGTTTGACAGTCAATGTATGGAATTCATTTTTCCAAGTACTCCATAATTTCTTCTCTGAGTTTAGAAATCTCCTCACTGGACGGCCCTTTCTCAGGACACAAATAGATGCTCTCAAGATGAACAATGTTCTGGAGCTCCAAATGAGCTAACTGTTCATTTGTCTTTTTCACAAAGGAGTAAAATGGCTCACTGTAAAGAAGACCCATAGGTACAACCTCAACAACATCTAAGGCTGACTGTTCATGGTCTAGTTTCACGATTAGATTAAGAACTTTTACCAGATATGCTGGAAAATGGACATCTGCACTGTTATACCCCTTACACACCAAAAATCGTTGTGGTGAAGACAGTTGTGATAGAACTGGTTTGACAAAAGCTAATTTGTCAAACAACTGATGTAGAATGTACAAAATACCCACAGTGAATCTTGTCATTGTCGCGCATAAACGGCAAACAAACATCCCTCCAGATTTCAACAGCTTCAAAGCGGTAATACAAAGACATAAAAAGTTTCTTCGTGAGCTAAGTTCATCACTATTGTCTACATCTGCAAAAACTAGATTAATGTTTTGGCTATTGTCTATTTGCAAAATCCTTTTCACATTCTGAGAGATTTCTTCAATTTGACAACCGGTTTCCTGATTAAGTGATACTCTTCCACTTTCTGCTGAAATATGTATGTGAATGGAACTAAAATTTGCATTTCTCTCTTCCAGATGATGTTTCACATAATCAAGACTACAGCCAACATTTAACAAAATTCCACAGTTCTCATTCTTAGACATTTNAACAACTGATGTAGAATGTACAAAATACCCACAGTGAATCTTGTTATTGTCTCGCATAAACGGCAAACAAACATCCCTCCAGATTTCAACAGCTTCAAAGCAGTGATACAAAGAAATAAAAAGTTTCTTCTTGAGCTAAGTTCATCACTATTGTCTACATCTGCAAAAACTAGATTAATGTTTTGGCTATTGTCTATTTGCAAAATCCTTTTCACATTCTGAGAGATTTCTTCAATTTGGCAACCGGTTTCCTGATTAAGTGATACTCTTCCACTTTCTGCTGAAATATGTATGTGAATGGAACTAAAATTTGCATTTCTCTCTTCCAGATGATGTTTCACATAATCAAGACTACAGCCAACATTTAACAAAATTCCACAGTTCTCATTCTGAGACATTTCTGTGAAGGAAATGATGTTATCAAGATTTTTCACTTCTGCTTCACCACCTGGCGACATGCTAACAACATGTGAAGGATCTCCTCTGTTTAAAATTCTCTCAAGGTTCTCAAGGTTGTCTTTTTTTAGGATTGTTGCCCGTTGCCTTGCCTCTCGCAACTTGCTGATGTATAGGGGTGTGCAGAATCGGGAATTCAACACAACACCTAGACAAGCTGCAGCCTGCATTTTCCAGGTTTCTGTTATGTCTTTAGGTGTGGTATAGAGTGCTTTAGGAAGCCACGCAACTTGGTCAGGGTAGAGTGGAATGAGTGTGACACCATTGGAAGTTTGTGATAGACCTGGAAAAACAAAAACAGAGTTAAGATAATATTTCAGACTTGCCACCAAATATGTGCTAGCATGTGTTTCTCAAAGGCCTTTTGAATTTTTCAGTCTTTTTCGAAATGCACTCCTGGTAAAGGGTGTGCACAAGTTTACTCTCACACTGGTATGTATCAGTTATTATTATTCAGGAAACTGAATTCTGCAGGGGTGAGGAAATCGTATTTGCTATCTCTGGATCTTGTTCCTTCACCCGTGTGAAGAATACTTTTAAATGGGTTTATTATTTGAACATGTGGAGGACTTAGTATGACAACCTTGAAATATGGAGTAATGAGGACTTGCTAGTACTGGCAGTCCAGAAGTTACTGAAAGTTTATCATTATCACGACTATTACCAGTATTATAGCAAACAATACAACAGGAAGGTATTGTATCATATCTCAGACTTTGCTGCTCAACATGAAGTATTAACATTACCTTCTAGGCTTTGATATTGAGAGGGATGTAATTTAAACAAATCATCACTTTGAATGTTTTCAAACCAGTCTTGGTCCAGGGTTCTTTGCCTCTGATTATAGCTTCCAATCTGATGTCGACCATTAAAAATCTCATTAAAAGGAACATCATTTGAAGGCCCTCTTGTGAAGCTCAGTTGTGTACCATCTAAGTTGACACCAGGCACTATCCGATCCTCTCTATTGATTGGCTGCAATAAGAATCTTTCTACAAAAGCCTCCACTACAAGATGGCGAAGTTTAGTGTGAGATTTTCTTTCTCTTGCACTCATGTGATGGAACTGTTTAATATTCTGATCAATGGCTTCCATTTGAAGACCTGTAAAGTACTTTTCACAAACTTTCAATCTCTCCAGAAAGAAACTTGGAATTGATGTTAGAGGAAAGAGGCTCATTTGTGGTGAACATGCCCCAAATCCTTCTCTTAGTTTTTGCATGATGTCAGCAGGAATTTCTTCTCTTCCAGTAAAGTGCAGGCATACAATATACACCTCTGAATTACCTGACTTGCTGGTACCTATTGTAGCAACATAAATATTAATACAAAATAATTATATTTCCTTGCAAGGAACTGTCCCTCTACAATAACAAACTAAAAAAAAACTAAAAAAAAAATTAAACCAAACATTTAATTTATGTAAATTACAATATTTGTCTTTGAATAAGTAGTAAGTATGAAACATATTAATGTAAGCCTGGGCTTTCACTTCATCAACTTAAATATAGATAAATATAATACAGTTCTATCTTTTGAGCGTGTGGAAAAAAATTTTGTAGTATGACCACTCAAATAAAAACCCTCCAGCAACAATTTTGCATTGTCAGTACTATTTATTTTACAGTATTATTGAAAATGAAGTGTGAGAGTTTTTACTTTACTTTTTACCTACCAGTATTTTACCATAGCATTTTAAATTAAAATTATGGTCATGAATCTAAGAAGTACACTTTTTAATAGTTCACCAGTATGAACCTTAAAAAAAAAACCAACTGAATAATTTATTGTAAGACATGGTAGAACAACAGTATGAACTGCAACTTATACAATGGCCTACATGGCAAGCACAGAAAGGGTACTTGACGGGGAGGGAGAGGAAAAGCCTCTTCCCCTCCCTTCTTGACACCTGCCATGCTTGCTACTTATACAAAATAGCAATTGACAGTAAGAACAGAAACTTGCCCAGAAAACAGAACCTCACAGTATTTTCTTTGTACTATATCTATACTTTCAGTGTTTACCAGGTTTAATGACATGAACTTCTTGAAACAAGCAGGTGAAAAGATAAAGCAGGCATATCATCTGGTGCTCAAATGCAGTGAACATCTTGAACACAAAGTTTCCTCCTTGAGAAAGCAGATTAATGGCTGTTACTGCTTCACAGAAACAAAGCTGAGCAACAACACTTTCTTGCTCATCTGGTTGATTGGCACAATTGATACTACCATCAGCTGTGACCTGCAAACAGATTATAAGAATAAAATCATTGTCCTGGAAAGAGATAATAAAGCCATTTCCCTGAAGTATTTCATTTTCCACAGATTGACCAACCTAAGTTTCTGGAAACTGAAAATAACAATTTTCTTTTTAATTCCAAGAGCACAACAACCTTTCTTTGGTGAAAACAAATCTAGTTTACAACCTTAACTCTTTAAGCCCCAACTCACATCCAATTTCTCCCAACAATCAGACTGCCTGATCAAACATACAGGTCATGAGAATGAATAAAATGATCACCAAAGGTGAAATGTTGTGATGTTAGAACAAATTCTTTCAAGTGGTACCATAAGGAATGTATGATGAACAGTGTGGAGAACATGCATGTTGATTTTGAGGCTTAAAGGGTTAACACTCCCTTTTACTAAAATTTATTAACACCATTGTATGAGACAACTCATAATTAAAACATGCCAATGCAAATGAGTTGTTCCATTAGCAAACATAACAGATATGCATGGATTTCAAGCGCATTATAGCCAATTATAACCATATTGTTTAACTGTTGTCACAACTCTTGGGTTAAGGTGAAATAACTGTGGGTGAGATGACTTTCTGGTGATTTAATAGGTCAATACCGGCCCTTACTAAATGAACTTGATCCATGTCTTGCTGAAGAGCTTCTAAGTTCACCAAGTTCATCAAGTCTCCAGTTCCATCTGCACCAAAATGCCAATGTGGCAATGTCTCAAATATGAACCGGTCATCATCCAGCATGGCTTTTAAATCGTGTCCTTCATAGTAAGGGTTCAAAGTATTAGCCAACCATTCCCACTGTAAACCATGATAACAGCTTTTCAGTAAGTGATTTAAACAGGCCACAAAAGCTCCTGGTGCCTCACACAGATGGACGGAGCGGAACTTGCCCGTGTGCTGAGCATCCTCAGGGACGAGATCAAAAGTGTGAAGAATCTCGTGGAATTTAGCCCAAGCTTGAGTACACATTTCAACTCGTAGATTATCCCTGAGGTGCTTCACAACAAGTCCGGCTTTATGAGCTCTGCGGGTGTGTAAATGCCACTCATCAATATCCATGTCGTTAAGTAAGCTCTTATTTCGATTAAGATCGTCCTTCATGGAGATCAAGTCTTCTAGAACGAAAGGAGGTTCTGTGAACATACGGCTTGCATACGGAAGATGAGCCCATGAATCCTCGCTTGATTTTAAAACAAATTTCTTGTTGAACAGGGCCTCGATTTCTTGTTGAAAAACCTCTGAGTTTTGCAAATTGTGCTTAGGGTACTTTCGTCGTTTTTTTGGCGCCATAAGACTTTAGTTACTAAGCTTAAATATTGAAAAAATTAACCGCGGAAAAAGAGGATGTACCGGGACGCCATGTTGACCGTCTGCTGAAAGGACTGGGACTGTTAGACACGGTATGTCTCATACATGCCCTACTTATTCTCTTGAAATAAAACCGCTGATTAAATTCTCCGTTTCCTGAGCCTTTCCTAATCAAACGCGCGGAAATGTCAGTCAATGAAAATAATGGTCTTTTAATTCTCCAAACGTTACTTCCTTCGGTGAAAAAGGCGAAAGACTTGAATCTGGAACAGAATCTTTCACAAATGCTGCACTTAGGTGGCGATCCAGTGCTTTTTCTGCTAAATGCAGGAGTAAATGAGTTCTTTTCAAACAGCTTGAACAGTTGCCTTTCCAACTGTCAAACTGTGATTGACATCTGTTGGGAAAAGTGCAACACAGGTCATTGGCGGGATGTTAATGTCATATGGAGGGAAACATATTCTTATGCAAGTGTTTTCAAGGCTCTCTGTCTTCACAGTATGGAGAGGAAGACAGAGGCCATGAAAGCTTGCGACATGGGACTTCTCTTAGGTGCACCCATATTGGACAACATTTTAACAAGGATGGCAACTGAGTTTCAAAAGATTGTTCACCCATACAGCGAAAGGCTGGATGATGACGGGTACGTTGAGCACCAAGCAGAAAGACAGCAAAATCTTTGTGAAAAACAAGATTTAAGAGTTGCTCATACTGAAGATACTTGTGGGAAAAGGAAAATAACTGATAATGTTAATAAACAAAATGAAGCATTCACAGAAAGCAGTTCTGTAAAGAGAAGAAAAAGCTTTGAAATACTGGGGATTGATAAGAAGTTTGAAATTGATCATGTCCATTGCCCATCACTAGAAGCATTTTTAATAGACTACATGCAGAAAGACAAACCAGTTATTCTTGAAGGAGTAATGGATCATTGGCCTGCCAGAACAACTCATCATTGGAGCATAAAATATCTTAAGAGCATTGCTGGTTGTCGCACTGTGCCTGTTGAGCTGGGTTCTCGATACACTGATGACACCTGGACACAAAAATTAATGACAGTTGCAGATTTTATTGATAATTATGTTAATCCAGTTGAGAATGGTCAGGACTCAAAAATTGCTTATCTAGCTCAGCATCAGTTATTTGATCAGATACCAGAATTAAGACGTGATATCATCACACCTGATTACTGTTGCCTTGGTGACAGTGATAATGATGTCATAATTAATGCTTGGTTTGGACCCAGAGGTACCATTTCTCCAATGCATCATGACCCCTATCACAACCTGTTGGCACAAGTTGTTGGTGATAAGTATTTACGCTTGTATTCTAAGACTGAATCAGGCAAGTTGTATCCTCACAAGTCTACACTACTGAATAACACAAGCCAGGTATTAAATATTTTCTTGTTACAGGTATCATCAGCTCTTGTAAGTAACCACCATTGGTGTAGGAACAGGTGGAAATATGTGCACTACCCATTCAGTTCAGAGTTAAAGCTACAATCAGTGACAAAATTGTTGAGACATTGTCCTCAAATGGGGTAACTTTGGAGAACAAAAAAATCCACACCCCTCCCCCTTTCCCTCTATTCAAGCACACTGCTTTCTGTGCATGCTTCATTTTGTCCACACAGGTAGCTCAAACAGTGGCACAACATTGAATGGAGAAGTTGGGGTAGGGCAAAGTGTCTTAAATAATTTTGTCACCGATTGTAGGATATGACCATTGCCCTGTTAGCTCACTGGATGAGTACCTGTCTACCAAGCAGGATGCTGCTGGTTCAAACCCCAGCCGGACCGACACTCAGGGTCTTAAACTAACTGAGGAGAAAGTGCTGCCTTTGAAAAGACATCTGCTGACAGCTACACTTTCTTCTCGGAGAAGGATGATAAACTGTAGGCCCTGTCTCACAACCCTTGCACAAATGAATTTTTTTGGATGTTGAAATAGCCACACACTGTTCATAAACAAACGGTAGGGGACGTAGTCCACAATGTGGTGGTCTGTCTCTCATTGGCAGGGTTTTCAATAAGATTTTGAGTAGGTGGAGAAGGAAAAAACTCATGGCAAAGGGGCGACTTGCGAGCGCAAGTTTCTGAAAAATTTTCAAATTTGGGCCTCTTACAATGCATTTCCAGCATTCTAGAGCGAAAATTAGAGTGTTTGAACAGAACACAGACATCATTAAATTCTGGCTTTTTTATTTAGTTACAGCACATTAATACTCTATTTAAACTGGAGTAATTTCCAAAGAAAAGTGGGTGGCGAGATCACGAGAAATAGCCGGCAAATTTTGCTGGCTACCTGCTGGTATTGAAAACCCTGCATTGAGGAAGGGTCTGTTAAGGGACTACAGTAATTAGTGTCAACAGCTGTTGCAGTGACACAGCCAAGAATTGTGAACCTAAGTAAATAAACTAGGCATCCACCCCAACTCTCAACGAGAGGGACATTGGGGGGTACCTTATACCGCAATACTGTAAGAAAAACTGGAAAATACAGAAATACCACATGGTCAAAAATCTATGAAATACTGATGTCACATTTATGATCAGTTGTGTTTAAGGTTGTATCCATCGTGGGTGTTTGTTTATCTGATGCATGTATGCACCAGAAATCAACCTCAGCCATTGCAAGAAAATGTGGAAAGACCTTTTAGAATTAATCAGTACAATGATCAAAAAACCTGGTCATTGGATGAAACAACAATTCCAAGATTAAATTTCAGAAATTCTGTAATCATTTGCCATTATGTCTAAAAGCTTACTTTGTTCTTGTGTTGCATATTGTATTGACTTGTATTAGACAAAAGGACAAATGGACAGTACCAAAATACCCTGAAGGATCTTCTTTTACAAAATGCCATCAGCCAAAAGAATGAAAAACCACATACCACGGGGCTCAATGATACTGCAATACCACACATTAAAATTAAAATACTGCAATACTGTAAACCCTAATGCCCCGCTCCTCAACTTGGCAGTACTGAAACCAACATAGAAAAAAAAGATCAAACTAGGTGTCCACAGGACATCCCAACACCCACCTGCCTAAAACCATGCTTCATTCTTAGGCTCTGAAACATGCACAAACATTTTTTTTCATCCACTGATGAAGCAAAAAAAACTGTGTGCACTTCAAAATGTGTTCTTTGTTAATTAATCCAATACCTGATATGTAATTCAATTCTCAGTCCCCCAGTTAGCGTGACAACTTTCCTATTTTTAGTTGTTGTTTTTTTTTTTTTTTTT